ATTTGCAATTTAAATAATCATAAATAACTGATCTATTCTGGTAAATATAGTTATTAATGATGAAAAAATTGAAATAAAACCAGTTTTTCATATTTTTCATTAAATTTTAATTCCCATAATTAAAAAGAATTCTACATCATTTTTTAAACTATGGAATAAATATCTTTACTCTTTGCATTTAAGAATTATGAAAGAAATTTATTATAGTATTTGTAATTTAGAAAAATGATAAATTTTCAGAGCATCTCTATCAAATTTTATTAATAAAGTTTACTTTATTTATTTTATTAGTTAAATATGCTGGAAGTTATCTAATGATTCAATGTCTCTTTGATGACTTCAAACATATACTAATATCAGTTGTATATACCAGAGTTGAAACATTATATGGCAATATATTTATAAATACTGAATGATTCTGACAAGTTAGTTTAAAAAGAAATCATATAGTTTGTGACTTTCGAATATAAAATTTAATGATATTTGATTGTAAATAACAAATAACAAATAATTTTTCAATATCAACAGCAACCTGAAGACTTTTCTGGTTTAACCACATCTGTATCTGCAACAATGAACTTAGTAGGTTATGGAGTTGGTTTAACAACCTTAGCTGATTTATATATCTCTTTGAAATTAGATTTTAATAATACATTGTAAAATATTTTTAAAAGCCTCTTCTACATTTGTTCCATCTTTAGCACTTGTTTCAATAAATGCCACTCCATTTCGTTAAGCATAAGCAATAGCACAATCAGTAGCTACTTATCGGATATGTTTTTAATCTGTTTTATTTCCGACGATCATAATTTATAAGGAAGGGTCTGCATTTTCTTTCAATTCCTTATATTTTGCTAAAATAATTACTTTCATCCATTTATCTACATTTTCAAAAGTTAATGATTTAGTAATATCATAAATAATCATTGCTCCAACTGCTCCTCTATAATAAGCTGAAGTAATAGCTCTGTATCTCTCTTGGCCAGCTGTATCCCAAATTTATGCTTTTATGGTTTTATCATCTATCATAACATTCTTTGAAGCAAACTCAACCTAAATTAAATGATAAATTAAATATTTTACTCCTATTGTGGTTTTGGAATCTTGTAAGAATTCGCCTCTTGTAAATTAATTGAGAATGTTTGTTTTTCCAACACCAGAGTCCCCTTTAAATAGAATTGAATTAATACCTATTAAAACTAACTTATAAAGTAAATCGTAGTCTTCAGTTCTATGTTGCATGTAATTAGATGGAATTAATAAAAATAATATTTTAAAGAATAAATTATAATCAGAGCTAAATCATTTAAATAATCTAGAAATAAATAAAATTATATTTAACATCTAATTTTTACATGTAATAATTGTTTTCCTCCAATTTTTACTTATTTTATAAATACATTATATGTAAAAATCAAGAAAAATATTAAATATACGGAATCCTGAATATTTTATTAATATTATTATTTATAAAATAAGTAAATTTTTAGAGATTTTCTAAAAAAATCAGTTGTGTAATAGATATTAATAATTATTAAGGATTTATTAGAATAAAATAATATATCTTTTTTTTTCAATTTTAAAGTCTCAATTTTATTTGAATTTTCTCTAAATGCCTTTTTTTTGCAATTTAATTTCTTGTATTTTGGATTTAAAAGAACTTTAACTAGTAAAAAAAGGCAAATCTGTAAAAATAGTATTATTTAGAATAATTTTATTTAAATTAATTCATAAAACAACTAGAAACCATAATTCAAGGTTGTATTTAATTTATTTGTAAAAGTAAAGTCTTTTATAAATTGTCTAAATCAAATTCAAATATATATTAAACAATAGTCTAAAGTTGATTTTTTTTATATGACATTATAAATATACAGTTATTGATAGGTAATTTTAATAAATAAATTGGTAACTATTTGAATAAGCTATAAGCTTTTTAGAAGTTTTCATGACTAGCTTAACGTATATTCATAAATTTTATTTATATATATTTTATTCCTAATGTATAAATGTATTTAATAATTTAATAAATTAAAAAAAATGGAAAAAAACAATAAAAAGTAAGTCATTAGAGTTTAATGAAAAAATTGAAAAAATTATGTTTTAAACTAGAAATTAATAGTAAAAAGAGTTGATAGAGTATTACTATTTTAGAATAATTAATCTTAAATCCTATTGAATAATAAGCCAATCAACAAATTTTATATAATCTAATATAAATATATTTAATTGATATGAATAATTAGTCGTAAATGTGTAATATTCATAACATTAAACCAGGATGGCTATTAAATTCTAAACATGAATATCAAAGTCTTCTTGTATCATCTTTAAAATAGCAATTTTCAGAGAACTAAAAAATAATATAAGAGTCAAGTTATGAAAATATGTCTTAAGATCTTTGTTTGAATACTGAATAGCGTAAACAAGAATTGAAAATGTATAAAATAAGTAGAGTAATTGGAAGCAGTTTAGAAAGATAGGTTAGATTTGATAAGCATATTCTATTTTAAATGAAAGATCATAAGCCAGTCAAATAATTTCCACTTTTTAAAGCAATATCTGTAGAAAATAAGGTAAATCATCAAAATACATGGCATGATAAGTAAGGAGATAAAGCTAGATTATCAATTGAATTTGAGAAAGATCATTCAATTGTCTTTATTTATTTTAAGGAAGAAAATTAAGCATTTAAATGGTAGAGATATTTGATAATTGAAAGATTATTATAATAAAAACCAAAATAAGTAGCCAAATGTTTTGAATATTGTTTTCATGAATATGAAGATAAATTCACTTTTATATGGGCATTAAAATTTGCTTAATAATTAAATCAATAAGCAATAGAATTGAATAAATTAAAAAAATAAAGAGCACATATGGATGCCAATTATTTTATATAATAAGAAAAAAGATTGATGATTTTTCATATAAATACTTGGTTATAGAAAAGTCAGAAAATATTAAAAGATGAATAAGATTATTAAGTTTAATTATAATAAATGTCTCTAAAATAATAACAAGAATTATAATAAAATAAAGAGTAATTAGAACTTGAGAGAATATAAAAAGAAAAATTAAGAATTTAAATGTTATAAAATTTAGTTGAAAATCATATAAAACCAAAGAAATTTATAATATAAAAGTTCCTAACAGGTTGGTAATAAAGATCTTAATTTATTTATGGCACCAATCCTAAGAAATTTTCAATAAAAATAATTAGGATGTATATTCAAAACAATATTTAATTAATAAGACCATTATTAGAATTAAGATTCATATCTGAAGTATATTTTATCAAATTCATAATAGAGAACGGAAGAAACTAAGGATATAGAAAGTATTAAAATATTAGATGGATTACAATATAATATTTAATAAAGTCCTTATTTCACTTGTCGCTTACTGGCATAAATGAATCAATAAAGAAGAAAGGATTATACTGCTTGGTGTTTTAAAGATAGTTTACTTGGATTATAAGGGAAGACTTTTATGACAGTTGAGAATTTGGGATTTAAAGATTATATCGACTTTTAAGTAATTGATACAATCAGTAATTAAATAATATATTAAAGGAACTAATACTTCATCAAAAATATTAAGGATTTAATTCTAAGATCTTATTAAATATTTATATGAAGGTCGTTCATTTTGGATTGCACTTGAATATGAGCAATCTAAGATTTTTGTAGAGATGGATTTACTAGAACATTCAAATATAGATCCCATATTTCTTGATAGATTAAAATATATATAATTGAATGCCGTATTAAGAAAGGTTAGCATAAAAATGATGGAATAAAGAACTCCTGTACAATTCATTTAAATAAGTTTAGTTGCCTATTATTGAAACAGTAAAATATGGACTAGAAATAGAAAGATATTAGAATGATATCTAAAATTTATATTAGAGTTTGTACATAGAGAATATATGTTTATAACCTCAGTGTTAACCAGCAAATTGGTTTTCTTAATTGGATAGTTTAGAAAAGGTAGTTAAACCTGTGACTGATATACTCAAAAGAAATTATTTAGAATTTACTGATGTAACTGATAATGTTTAGATTTATTATTAAATAAAATCTATTCCAAATTTACGTTTACCTTTACTCAAAGATGTTGATGAATTCATAAATAAATTACCTATTGTTTAAGAAAATCAACATAAATAGTGTAGAGGAGTTTTAATTTCATTTTTAATTTATTGTAATGTCAGAACCATTTAATTAAATGTCTCCTTTTTGACTATACTATTTTAAATAGCTAATAAATTCATATGTATCAGTCATCCTCATTTCTTATACGATTTAAGTACACCTGTTTTTGGGAATAAATTTGATTCTGAAGCATAAGCATTTTGGCTTTTTACTGGATTTGTTGAATTGATGAAAAGTGTTCATTTTCCTTTAGTTAAGTAAGACACTCTCTTTTGTCCATAAGAAATTGTTATGTAATATATGGAAGTTTTGCATAAAGAGATTGTGTAACATTGTAAGAATTATGACATTGCAGTTGAAAATGTTTTTTTTGATATTCTTTCATCTTTTTATACAAATTTAGTATAATCAATGCCATTATGTAATATTTGGAATTTAATAATTAAAAAGATATCTACTAATAAATGTGCATATTAATTAATTTTAATTGTTTATATAGAAGAATTGAGTTATAAATTATTATTCTGCTAAAATTCTGAAGATTTCAAAAATGCTATTTCATTATAAGGTAACATATACAATTAATTATAAGCCCAACTTATGGATATTCAGCAACTAGAGGCTGCATATTCAGGATGTGAATCAAATTTAAATAGAATCATAAATGCAGAACAATCATTTCATGAATCTGTAGAACATTCAAATATTCATTAACCTTTAATATAAGATTGTTGATTATTATATATATGTATATATATATGAATAATAAAAATTTTAGATATAATTCTAAAATATTGTTATAGATTTATAATAATATGATATTTAATTAATAACAAAATTATTTCATTCTTAATCAGGATCAGAACTATTGCTAGTAGTTACTAAAGTTTTCCTCTTTGTTATATTTGGAGAGAATAACAATGATAATATATAAACAGGAATGAAATCTGTGATACAAGTATAAATTAATTAGAAAAGTGCCCTATTAACAAATCTTTTTATTTAATACCATGTAAACCCTTAATCAGGTAAATTTATTGTAATTACACCATCTTTATTGCATTCTAGTCCTGGTTTCAATTTCCAAAAGAATTCCTAAGAGAATAAAAAATTAAATGATGGTCGAAGTAGAGTGCAACTTATTACTGCTATTGATAAAAATTTTAAATTCTAAAATATTCATTAATTTTTACAGCTCTATAACGATCACAAACATTATATTAATCTCTGAGTTTTGTATATAAAATAATACAAATTGCAGCAAAAGAAACTGTACTTAACATAGTTAAAGCACCCAAACAATATTCTCTAATGTTATTAATATATGATTCTAAAATTAATGAAACTATGGTAAGAATCGGAATTAATACGATTAATACGGATAGAAAAATTTATACAATATTAGTTAATTCTAAAAGGGATTTTTTCTGTTCAATTCTCAACTTCAGTCTCCATAATTTAAGCCACAAATTACTGCAAAAACAAAATGTAAGATTCAAAGTTTAGACTTAACAAATTTAAATAATAATGTAAAATTATGGTGAAATAGTTAATTATGATATTTATGACTCGCAATTCCAATTCCAAAATTAACTAAATAAATAAGCTGCTATTTAATAATAACATGAAAAGATTTTAACTTAGATATTTTTTTAATTTACATATTATTGTGATTACTAATAAGCAATTAACAGTTAACATTTTAGATGGATTATTTTTTCTATCATCCATTTTCCATAAAAATAAATTTTGGATTTTCTGAAAAATATTAATCAATAAATAGTTTGCACCTACACTTAATAATATAATACCTATATTAATAAGATATTTTTATACTGATAAATTCATACCAATTAGTGACATCAATATTTTTGAATTCATCTTAAATTATGATATCACTCTTCTGATCAAAATACAATTTCATATATAACAATTATTTATAAATAAAAGTATTAATTTATTTTCAAATAGATAATTTTCTACTTACACTCTAAGGACTCTCAAATTTATCATAATAATTAGCACCAAAACTCTTAACAAATTCATCTTCTTCAAAATTCTTTTATTAAGGTTTTTTAACTGTTGGTTATAATTCATATAATGTCTTAAATTATTATTTTATAATTACATTCTTACTCAAAGAATTACCTGCACTTCCACTTCCACTATTACCACCACTATTATTATTAAGTGAATCTTCATCACTTGCTTCACTGCTATCATCTGTGTCCATAAAAACCTTATCAAAAGCCCATTTGAATAATTCTTAATCTTTATCATCTTGTATACAAAATCGAACTTAACTTAAGAATTTTATTTTTGTAACATTTTCTTCTAAAAAATTCTTAACAGCAATCATTTGCATTGTAGCAATTGTAGATATTGTAAATTTAGTTGATTTCATTACAGGAAAACATATTGATGTAATTTCCATTTCTTCTGCTACTTTAAGACAAGTCATCATGCAATCATAAATAAATTATTTCTAATATTTTTAATGAGCATTTTTTGGTAATTTCAAGTTTAAATTTTTAGGATTGTGATTTCTAGCCAATTTCATTGGTTCATCATCTTCATTTGGTAATATACAATAAAATACAAAATCAAATTCTAACTAATTAAAATAATAGAATTATGATACTTCTGCAGCATGAGAATGTACAACATCTCCATGAGATACTGCTTATTTATCTCTAATCTATTAAATATATTTTAGCAACTACTATTTTGTTTAAGGTGAAACATTATTTATCAAGTAATAAGGTAACTAGTATTACATATATTATTAATACCTTTAAATTTAAATCTGTTTAAGCTACAATTACATCAACTTCTTCATTTTTTATGTCTCCTGCATCTAAGTAAATTCCTATATCTTAGAATCTATGCTATGCTAATAACTTTGGTTATATATTTTATTCATTATTAATCTTTTTCAATAACTATTTTTTATACATTTCTTGCATGATATTCGCACATATTACCCATGAAATTTATATTAATTATCAAATTTAAGAGCAAAATCTAAAACAAATTAAAATATCATAAAGAATTAAGATTGCTTGATCTACTCCAGTCTCTAAAATCTATCCATTTTATTTTGTTTATTCCATAATATTTTAATCTAGCTATTGAATGTCTATTTATCAATCTGATCTTTATAAACATTAATTTTACTTTTTTGTCATCAGAATAACATCATAACAAGAAACTGGTTTCTTTGTTGTTTTTTCATATCGATACTTGTATAATTCCAAAAAAGAAACTAATTGATTGTTTTAATCATTTCCGACTGGCAATTCTTCCAAATCACCCCAAATAGAAAACTCTTCAAGATCTGGGTCATTCTCAAGAGCAAGAGACTGGCATTACTTTAATCTATGTCTTGGTCTAAAACTATTTATTATAGGAGATAGTTGTCTGTCTGTTTTATTTTCAAGAAAGTTTCCTTAAAATATTAATGTTTATGAAGGTTAGGTTGAATCTTATTCTGATTTTAGTATTTTTGAACTATTTCCTTATAAGTAATCAAGTTTAAGTTAATCAAATCTGATATCACTTTTCATCCTCTGATGCATAATAAATTAATAATCACTTTTATTAGAAAAATAATATATTAATACTAAAAGACTTATGTTATTTACCCCAAAATACATTAAAATAAATTCTAATTAACAGGCAATTTAACTAAATCTTTTATTTGAATTGCATTTCTTTATTTTAATAATTTTTAAATGTAAATTCTTTTCTTATTCATAAATTATAGATAAATTTCAAATATTTTGTTTATTTAAAAAACAATTAGCTAAAATTGTTAAAATTATCTTATTTGTTTGATATAGTTTAGTTTAAATATGTTTTATTAAGTTTTTAATTATCTTTTATTAATTTTGTTAATGAAACTGTTCATAATTGAATAGAGATACAAGTACCAATTATTAATTAAAAAGATTTATACTTTATTTTATTATTATTTACAATTTCTCAAATTTTAAAAGGTAATAATCTTTCTTTAATTAGAATAGAAACAATATTCCTTATTTTTATAAATAAATATCATTGTTGTCAATTTAGAAGAATTATAATCATAAATGATAACCAATTGATAAAACGTAAAGATTATATGTAAAATTTATAAATATGATTTGTTAATATTATTTATATAGATTCTTATCAATAATAGCATCATTGTAATGATAATGAAATCAAATACAATACCCTTTCAATTATCAATGCAATGGTGCTATTATTAAATGAATCAATAAAAAGATATTAATGTTAAAAAGTACCTTATCTTATTTATTTTAGATAAATAAAATATATTTTCAAAAATTATGATAAGCAAATTTTCCATAGAACAAATATCTTGAAAATTCGTTAAAAATTTAATAATATTTTAGATTTAATAATTTTCTTTTGAAAAATAATTTACTAATATCTTTACACTCTCCTTTATTAAATGATTTATTTCTGTTGAGAAATAAAGGAAGTAAAATTATGTGTGCTATTTTCATCAAAATTAAACGAGAATATTATTAATCATAATTACTAATTTGTCAAATTCCAACTCCTTAATTATCTACCTAAGACTTTTGAGAAATGTGAATTATCCATAATTAATATGTAAGAATGATAATAAATAAACATATTTTTAATTGTCTGTTAAGATGGATCTTATAATAAAAATGACACTTAAAATTCAACGATTAATTAATATTATAAAATATATGGAAATTTTTAACCCAATTACTTAGTGATAAATAATTTATACTAGATATGATGTATGATTAAACAAGAACTTATAAATAATATTTATTTTGCCTTTTTAAGTGTGATTAAAAATAAAGTTTAACGTAAATTAAATTAATATCTGTTTGCAAATACCCTTTATAAAAAATGTCAACGAATACTGTAAAAATGCTTTAATAACGTAATATTGATATAGAAGTATCATGTTTTGAAGATAAATTACAAATTTCACCTTCAAAATAAAATAAAGAAAATTCACATCTATCAAAATCTAAAACATGTGACATGAGTGATCTTGTTAGATTACTACATAAGGTGGATATTCAAAGTACTTAATAGGGAGGTAGTATAATTATTAAATCTATAGACTAAATTGAATAGGAATAAGATAGTACCCCTAAGAAATAAATGTAATAAGGAAAAACCTGTAGGTATATTCCATTGAGAAGTGGATAGAAATAGAGTTTGAATGAAGAATTTCAATATAGAGAGATTGAAGAAGAGAATTAAGAACCATAAAAAGGTAGTGATTACAAAGACTAGGGAAATGTTACACTGAAAGATATCTATAAGATGCATGTGTTCGGATAACCATTATAAAGTGAATAGCTTTAATGGGAATCAAAGAATTTATTGCATTTTGCTGACAATACTCCTTCAAAACGAAAAATATTGTCAGACATAAATCCAGCTATTTTGGAAACTTATTAAAACTTAATAGATTATAGAGAACAATACTAAAATAGTTAAGATTATTAATTCAGTTAAAGAAAGATTAGTAAAGTACCATTTAAAGTATTGGATGCTCCTTAATTATAAGATGATTTCTATTTAAATCTAATAGATTGGAGTTCTTAAAATGTATTATCTGTTGCTTTATCCTCATGTGTTTATTTGTGGTCAGCATATAACAATAGAGTAACTAAGTTTTGTGATTTTGGTAATAATGATATGGTTTGTTCATTAATATGGAATCCTTAAGGAAATTAATTGGCTATAGGAACTGGTTCAGGAGAAGTGCATATATATGATTAAGAGAAGATGAAAAGAATTTAAATATTGGAAGGACATTCTGCAAGAGTTGGATCTTTGGCTTGGAGTGCAAATGTAAATTAATTATAANAATAAATAAACATATTTTTAATTGTCTGTTAAGATGGATCTTATAATAAAAATGACACTTAAAATTCAACGATTAATTAATATTATAAAATATATGGAAATTTTTAACCCAATTACTTAGTGATAAATAATTTATACTAGATATGATGTATGATTAAACAAGAACTTATAAATAATATTTATTTTGCCTTTTTAAGTGTGATTAAAAATAAAGTTTAACGTAAATTAAATTAATATCTGTTTGCAAATACCCTTTATAAAAAATGTCAACGAATACTGTAAAAATGCTTTAATAACGTAATATTGATATAGAAGTATCATGTTTTGAAGATAAATTACAAATTTCACCTTCAAAATAAAATAAAGAAAATTCACATCTATCAAAATCTAAAACATGTGACATGAGTGATCTTGTTAGATTACTACATAAGGTGGATATTCAAAGTACTTAATAGGGAGGTAGTATAATTATTAAATCTATAGACTAAATTGAATAGGAATAAGATAGTACCCCTAAGAAATAAATGTAATAAGGAAAAACCTGTAGGTATATTCCATTGAGAAGTGGATAGAAATAGAGTTTGAATGAAGAATTTCAATATAGAGAGATTGAAGAAGAGAATTAAGAACCATAAAAAGGTAGTGATTACAAAGACTAGGGAAATGTTACACTGAAAGATATCTATAAGATGCATGTGTTCGGATAACCATTATAAAGTGAATAGCTTTAATGGGAATCAAAGAATTTATTGCATTTTGCTGACAATACTCCTTCAAAACGAAAAATATTGTCAGACATAAATCCAGCTATTTTGGAAACTTATTAAAACTTAATAGATTATAGAGAACAATACTAAAATAGTTAAGATTATTAATTCAGTTAAAGAAAGATTAGTAAAGTACCATTTAAAGTATTGGATGCTCCTTAATTATAAGATGATTTCTATTTAAATCTAATAGATTGGAGTTCTTAAAATGTATTATCTGTTGCTTTATCCTCATGTGTTTATTTGTGGTCAGCATATAACAATAGAGTAACTAAGTTTTGTGATTTTGGTAATAATGATATGGTTTGTTCATTAATATGGAATCCTTAAGGAAATTAATTGGCTATAGGAACTGGTTCAGGAGAAGTGCATATATATGATTAAGAGAAGATGAAAAGAATTTAAATATTGGAAGGACATTCTGCAAGAGTTGGATCTTTGGCTTGGAGTGCAAATGTAAATTAATTATAATAAATTAGACTTTATGTTCAGGTTCTAAAGATAGATCTATAATTTTACATGATCCAAGATAAAAAAGACAAACTGGAAAATTTGAAGGTCATAAATAAGAAGTTTGTGGATTAAAATGGTCACCAGATGAATATTAATTGGCTTCAGGAGGAAATGATAATAAATTATTTGTTTGGAGAATGGGCTCATAAATACCATTAGCTAAATTTAATTAACATTAGGCTGCTGTAAAAGCTATTGCTTGGTCTCCACATAGACATGGTTTATTATCATCAGGTGGAGGAACTGCAGATAGAACTATTAGATTTTTCAATACTCTAACTACTCAATAATTAGATTGGATTGATACTGGTTCATAAGTTTGTAATTTAATGTTTAGTAAAAATGTAAATGAATTTGTATCAACTCATGGATATAGTATGAATTAAATAGTTTGTTGGAAATATCCTGCCTTATAAAAAGTATTTGATATTTAAATTCTAGGTTACCACTTTAATGGGTCATACTTCTAGAGTCCTATTTTTGGCAATGTCACCAGATGGAGAAACTATAGTGACTGGAGCTGGAGATGAGACTTTGAGATTTTGGAATGCTTTCCCAAGAAAAGAATAAGCTTAACCAATCAATACTGTTTTACTACCTTAGATGATAAGATGATATCTTAATGTATTTATATTACTATTTATAAATATCTTAAATATTTACTTTTTATTTATTTCATATTTTAAATTATTTTTATAAACAATGATTATTTATATCATTAAAACATCATAATATTTACAATACTTTAATCAATTTAGTCAACAAAAAGAATTTTTATTGTTCCTCTTACCTAATAATTTAGAGTTAATTATCTCAAATAGGATTTGATATTCATAAATGAAAATCAATCTTTATCTCAATCAATACAATCTTAAATTATAAAATTCTAAAAATTTCAAATTTGTTAATCATAAGCTACTTTCTAACTGATTAACCAAACTGAAAGTGAGGAATGTTATTAAAAATCAAAATTTTGCTTAGAGTGGCATAAATAAATTCTTGAGATTCATTAAATACAGAAAGATTATTATTTCTAAATATGTTAACATCAAATTCTATAATTATTTATATAAATTTCAGCTTTGAATAATTTTATTGGTTATATTGTATTTAATTTTCATTATATCATTATTATGATCTTCTCAATCATCAGACCAACCAGAATTATGACTATCACTGCTATCCTTTCTATTCTTAGTTAATTATTCTCTTCTTTGAGCCATCATTTATGCTAAATAACTTGATAAATCATCTTATTATTTTTTGTCCATTTCTTTTATTTCCACTTTACACTCATTCTTTTCAACATGTTTTAACTTCACACCTTATTAAATTTCAGCCAATAAATCATTTTTATTCGATTAACTTTTAGGTTGTTATTTTGGAGCTTGCTATTACTATTATTAATTAGGCTAAGTCATTTAGGGTTATCCACTTGGCTTAGGAGGTGGGGGAGGTGGAGGACCTCTAGGGGGAGGTGGAACTCCTTTGGGAGGAGGAGGAGGTGGAGGAGGAGGGGGAGGAGGAGGAGGTGGAGCACCACCTTTAGCAGGAGGTGGAGGAGGGGGTGGAACAGACTCGATTAAGTTACAAATATACTTGTTATTATTATTGCTATTTTGATGGAGGAGGTGGAGGAGGGGGAGGAGGAGCATTAGGATTTTCATTAAAATTAGCAACAGCTTTAAAGATTTCCTTGGCTTGATTTTTATCTTATAAATCCTTTTTAGTAATTCCTGCTTTTTAGAAGGCATTTATTAATTCAGGAGGCAATTCATCTAAGTTAATTTCTCCAGTGTCAAGATTAAATGTTAATTGATTTCTTTTGAATCCTGATGGACCACTAACTTATACTTACTAATTGATATTAAATAATTTCATACCTTCTCAACTTGTTTATTCAATCCAAAAAAGTCTTTAAATCCACCTTTTAATGTTCCCTTTTCTTTCTCTAATTTTTCAAGTCTCTTTCTCTCCTTTTCCTCTTTTTCAATCTAAGCATTAATTTCTTATAATTATTGTCTCGTTGGACCATTTGAGCAAATCTTTTAAGTTATCTTTGTTGCTTCATCAACATTGGGAAACAAGAAACCAATGAAACCTTTTGAAATTGGAATGCTATAGAAATTAGCAATTCCATGGACAGGTTACCAAAAATCCTTGATTCCATAACAAAGTTCCATTGAAAATAGAACTTAAAGAGTTGCAGGATCATAAACTCTCAAGTAGAAACACTTCTATAAAATATTATTTTACTTTTCCCTCCCTTCTGTCTATTAAAAAGCACAGAATTCCTGCAATATTAGATCCATGAAATTTATGCTTTCCTTCATCTGCAGTGTATATTTACACAAATGTCATTTCAAGTACAGTTGCAGTTTAATTTGCACATCCTCCTACAACATCTTGAATAATTTATCTCACCTTGGGATTCTTTAAGATGTCAGTCATATAATTAATAATAACTAATAAAAAATCACTTTTATCAACATATATTGAGTAAATTTATATTAAATATCATATTCATTCCACAAATAGTTATAAAATCATTGTGCATTTTTATTTGGAATCTAAATTCTTTGTAATATAAAAGTAGAAATTTAATCATCTTACTTAAAAGAACTTATTTTCAAAATCAATTGAGTTTAAATTAAAAATAGATAAATCTATTGAGTTTCTTTTATCAAAATAAATTTTAACATTGTGTATATGTAAACTAGAAGAATGTGTTATTTAAATTATAGATTTATGAAGTTGGTTTTTTAAGATATTTCATTTCTTTTTTGGAAAATATATAAATACTCTTTAAAATTTATTAACAAATATTCAATAATCATGAAAATAATCAAAGAAATTTATACATATTTTTGTAAATAAAATAAGTAATAAGTAAATGTAAGTATTTTTTAATTACAATATATATATTAACAAATCATACACAGGAATCATAATTTAAAAGTTTCAAGTTCTAATTTCTAAGTTAACATTTAATACACGTATTAACCTACAATCAATATAATAATATACCAAATTGTGATTATTAAATTTCATGCAATAGTTATTAATTGTTTGTTATTTTTAAATAAAACTCTTTTTATATTTCACTATCTGCAAATTTTAAAAAATTTTAGACAACATAATTGCCATATGCATTTTTTGAGAGTCTAACAAATAAAACTGGATGATTCTTTTAACTCAATAATAATTCCATAATTTTTAATTTAAATCTGTTATCTGAACATTTAATTGCACAATCAACAACATTACTTAATTATTAATATTAAAAATACCTCCCAAATTTATTTAAACTATATTCTTCTATTTTATCCATAATAATTTGCTATATTTCAATTTATATAACTTCTGGACCATCTTTCAACAATTACTGAATTATATAATTTCCATATTATGAAATGCATAATTCTTAAGATATCTTCATTATTTCTTGTAAAACATTCATTTATCGTTCAAGATGATTATTTGATATTGATATAGCTTTTTAAATAATTCTACATCCAAAAGAATTTGTAACCAACTTACTTATTTGTCCTTCTACTCCATCTAAAACCCAAAGACTAGCATCACCTTCCATAAGTTATATAAGTTTTTGAACTACATGATTTCCATGTTAATCTATAACTAATTCTCTGACTTTCCCTTTTATTGAATCAAATAACACTTGAAATTCTTGAGTTTTATGTGCATTTTATAATAACTTTTATAAAACTCTACATCCATATTGATGAAATGCAAGTTATTAAGTATGAGGTTATAAAATTACAAGCATTTTTTATTACTGTATGGGAGTTCCTATCTTTAACTAAAAGTCATACCATTTTCAAGAAGATTTTAAATTACATAATTACCAAATACATCTTTTGACAAAGATACTAACCCTTTTTCTAGCCTACTGAATATTAAATCTTTGATTGCAACAGGTCCTTCTTAGAATTGTTTTTAAATGCTTCTGGCACCATTTTAATCTTTACATTTAGATATCTTATTTATTATGAATTTTTGATTACTAAATCTCCATCTAAACTTGTTTCTTCTTCTGGAATAAATTAAGTCATGCATTCATATGATTTTGCTTTTAAAGCTGAATTAGGAGCACTTTGTTAAACAGGTATTTTAGTAAGTCTTAAATCTAAATCATAAGAACTTTAATAAACAAATTAACAACTTTGCTTTATGTTAAACTTAAGGTGAATAAACTTTGGGTTGATAAACAGGTGAAGACTTTTAATATTATTTTATTTCTAATGCAGGGGGTCTATTGTTAGAATATGATTTTTTTGTTTTCTCTGCTTCAAAACTATCTAAAATAGTTTGAGTATTTTGAAATACCATTAAGAAGATCACCAATCATATCTTTCTCTTCTGGATCCTAAAACATTAGATTGTATAAAAATAATAATAATTTAGGAATGAAATATAATAATTTAAGATGCATTTCACTCTATTCACAATAGATTAATTAATAATACCAAAAAATTGTAATAATGTATATACCTAATTATATCATCTTCATAATTTAAGTATTCTGATTAATAGAAATTAGAAGTTAATTTATATATATATATAAGTTCATCATAATATATAAAATATATTTATTAAATATGGGTATGTGTTAAAATAAACCAGCAGAATATAACTCAAAAATACCCAATGTTACGAGTGAAATTTTAGATGAAGAAGATGTAGAAGACAAGATTGGAGAAACAACTTATCTACCAATTGAAGAAGAAAACGGTAATCTTAAAACTAAACCTACTCTTTCTGATTTTGAACTTTTAAAAGTTATAGGTAGAGGATCATTTGGTAAAGTCTTACTTGTCAAAAGAATAGCAGATCAATAATTATACGCAGTTAAGATTTTAAGGAAAAAATTATTGTAAAAAAAGAAACAATAGGAATAAGCACTTTAAGAAAGAAAAATAATGTCATTAATAAATAGTTCTTTTTCTGTAAAATTACACTTTGCTTTTTAAAGTCCATCAAGACTATATATGGTTATGGATTTTATGATAGGTGGAGAGTTGTTTCTTCATCTTAGAAAAAGACAAAAATTTAGTGAAGAATGGACTTAATTTTATGCAGCTGAACTTTTGATTGCTCTTGATATATTACATCAGTAAAAAATTATTTACAGAGATTTAAAACCAGAAAACATTCTTCTAGATAAAGATGGACATATAGTTCTTACAGATTTTGGATTATCTAAATTAGGATATGAAAGAAATGAAATTACTTATTCATTTTGTGGTACTCCAGAATATGTTGCACCTGAAATTCTATATTGTAATATATGTTTCTTTATCATTTATTAGAAAAAGGACATAGTTTTGTTGTTGATTTCTATAGTTATGGAGCTTTGATATATGAAATGTTGAGTGGTGCTCCACCATTTTATTCAAAAAATAAAAGAGAAATGTTAAAAAATAGATGTGAAAAACCTTTAGAGATGAAATCTTGTTTTTCTCTTTAAGCTTAATCTTTACTTAAAGGACTCTTAACAAAAGATGTATAATTAATTTTATAATATAGCCTGGATTTCGATTAGGTTCAAATGGAATTCAAGAAATAAAAAAACACAATTTTTTTAGTGGAATAGA